ACAATTTTAAATACAACAGCACGAATGTTAGGATGTAAAGCAGATTCATCATTTTGTTTAGTGAAAAGGTTAAATCTGTGATAAGCTTCCTTAACAGTACTAAAAGATAAAAATTTATAAATAAATATCATGAGATAATCTTACAAAAGTTTTGATCACTAACGTACTCTGGATCATTAGCTCTACCGGCAATATTAATAATTAGTGTCCTTAACGATGTAGTCAAATAATCATCACTTTCAGAATATTCCCAGCCTAATTTAGGAACTAATCTAGATGTTAACCCACGGTTGAACGCTAGAAGTCCTTGATAAATTGGTGTCGGTTGTTCAAACCAAACATCAAGTACATTTCCAAGACGAGATGCAATCTCACGCCATACACTTTTAATAAAGGGTTAATGAAAATTTAGTGCATTAAAAAAAAAAATTATATTAAATCACAAATAATTGCCAGCCTACACATATTTATCCTCTTCTTCAAATTCTTTAATGAAGCTCAACAAGTCACTAGTTTTCCCATAACCACTAGTTCCTAAAGCACCAGCGTCAGCAATTGCTCCAATACGATCATTAACATCAAGCAATCCTAACCTAACTGCTTGTCCTAACTTATATAACCTTTCGGGGGTGTAATTAACACGGAAAACGCCAGTTTCACGCGCATTGAGCTGATAGAAATCAGATTTTCTAGGTGGTAATTTCAATGTAATTTCCTTTTGAGTGAGAACAGTGGACTTAATATCACATTGAGTGTCGGGACCAAGGTCAACGCCAAGAGGCACCCACCAAATCGTAGTGTCCTCATCAGGATTAATAACTCCTGATGAAAGGAAACGGCACTGTCGAATTACCAACGTTTCAGGTGTTGATTCTTTAACAGTTAATACCGGATACTATGATCAAAATATGAATCAAAAGGTGTTATCTCAAAGTGTCAATAATATTAATAATGTTCATTTATACTCACTCCCACCATCCTTGTCCATCCTGTCATAAATTGAGCAACATCATTACCACTCTCCGTTGCTAGCGCTTGCCATAAGTCATCAGTACTCGCATTACCGAATGCATGAATTTTTAAATATCTTCTAACGCCAGATAAAAATACTTTCTCACCAAGGAAGGAACTTAGCATGCGAATTACAGAAGCACCTTTGCTATAACTAATATCATCAAACACTTGAGAAATTTCACTGAATACGTGACATTCAAGTAAGTAAATATGAAAAATATTATTAGCGAAGAATAATACAAATCAATGAAAACACATAAATTCATAAAATTACCTGGAATCATTTACAGGAACTTCAATAGGATGAGAAGAACTTAAAGAATCAAGCCGCAGAGCGCTTTGAAATTCTTCAGTGACGAATCTAATTAAAAGTTCAAGTATTAATTTAATATTAGGAATATAAAACTATAACTTGTAAGATACTATATCAAACTTACTGTGACCAAATATCCCAATCAGGAAAGAATTTATCAACTGCAAAGTTTCCAACCCATGTGGCGAAACCTTCATTGAGCCAAAGATGGTCCCACCTATAGAAATTTATGATTTATCTTGAGAAATTATCAAAAATTGTATCAAATATAATAAATTGTCATGAAAGTTACCATTCCATAGTTACGAGGTTACCAAACCACTATAGCAATATCAATCATTATAAATCAAGCAAGATTTACTACGAATAGATTTTAAATACCTGATGTGCAAGTTCATGAGAAACAGTGTACGCAATAATTTTCTTAATTGTGATATTAGAATTCTTAGGATCAAAAAGGATTTTGGCTGTACGATACGTAATTAAACCCCAGTTCTCCATAGCACCTAATGATATTACTTGTAAATTATCAATCTCAAAAATTCAACTTAAGATGGTTATATCTTACCAAATCCAAAGTCCGGAATTGCAACCATGTCACATTTAGGCAAAGGATATGGAATGCCAAATACTAAAAAAAAAAAATGATAAATGTTATAATACCGGCGTTAAGTATCATTGCAATATAATAAGCCTTTTTCCAACCTTCTATAAAATATTCTAAAACTTGCGTTGCTACGCCTAAAGCAAATTCGCCATACTGTTCATTGCCTTTAGGTGCATACACTCTGATCGATATGGGCTCACCATCATCACGACCCCCAGGTGTATAGGCTTGAATATAACCCAAGTCACCGACAATGAAAGCAACCAACTATTAAATAACGTAATTATAAGTATTCAAAGAATTCAATGATAGAAGAAGATATAAAATTAAATGAAACGCACGTAGGTACTCATTAACGGCGTTCTATTAAACTTGACTTCTTTTTTACCATCACCAAGTTGTGTCTCGCTAACTACATTCATATTACTTAAAGTGGTCATATCAGAGGGTACAATTAAAGTGATATCAAACGTAGCTTTAATCGCGGGTTCATCCCATGAGGGGAACGCTCGGCGAGCATCAGTTGCTGCAAATTGAGTTGTTACCATATATCTTCATATTAAAAGAAAAAATCTTTTTAAGGTTATAGTCAATTTGCGTGTGATGAAGAGAATTTGAAAACATACTTTGTATTTCCGCTTTTATCTTCATATGAACTTCTATAAAACCCGACCATCTTATCATTCAAAATTCCAGTGTATTCAATATGGAGGGAAGCAGTAGTTCCGGAAGAAAACTCTTGTGGGAAAGTTAAAGTGGCTGTTTCTTTTTGAGTATCATAATCGATATTCGTCGCTTCAAAACTAGTCGACCAATCAAAAATTTGTTAATAAATAATATAACATTATAGAAGTTGATCAAAAAATTACCTTTGACTGGTTTTTAAATCCAAATTTATAAGCTTGGCAGATTTTATTTCAATTTCGTTAACGTGAAGAGTTATTGATTTGGTATTTTCATTGATATTTATGCTAATACAAAATAATAAAATCAAGGAAAAAACTTTTATTTGAATAATGAATAAATTACGTGATCGACTAGACTCAATAACTCACTTGACAATTTCGGATCCGATAAAAGTGAAATTGACCATGTCTGGGGTAAAGGTCAAAATGTAATGAGTCGGTCTTACATTAGTTGGTAACACTTGTCGTTTATCCTGACGTACTTGTTTTGACATATTAAATGGATGATTTCCAAAGAAAATGTTATCTTAATTTCTTGTTGTGCGTGGGTTAAGACATATATTTTACGGAGTGAAAACAAAAAAAAAAATCATTTATACTTCAGTAACGTTACACGTACACAAATTTAAATCACACATGCATCTTTTTTTTCTAGAAATGGAAAATTGATTTTGCAGATTGGTACGTTCCCGTTCGCAAATTCGTGCTGCGGTATGAACTGATGATTTTTTTGATTCAAAGGTACATGAATTAAATTAAATAACAAAGAAAACATTATTACATAATACTGCAACAGTTTGGCTCGAATAGGGTTAAATTCGAACTGAACTTGATAAAAATATTCGGGCGGGTAAGCATAATTCGGAACAACTTGGATCTTTATAGATCTAATTAAGGCCGAAAAAATCAATATACTTTAATACTATGTGAACTGTGTTTCATAAAATGGGTAGTTTTAAATTAAATAAATATTAATTTTCCAATTGACTTTTCAATAAAAACTGATGTAATATTGGATATTCTTTTTCAAGGCGGAATATGCGAAATTTGCTGATTAGGTAACGTAATTTATTTATTTTTCTTATTCTTTATTTTCATTTTTTTCTTTAGAATTTAAAAAAACTGAATTACCTGCTTTTTCTAATCGCTTACTCCAGACCCAATTATGTAAATCGAAATTCGGAAAAAAAATTACTAGGCACCCATGAAAAATGCTATAATTTACATTGTAAGAAAGGGAAAGAATGCTATATGTTATCTTTTGTGAAATATTTTGAAGAAGGAATTTTAATAATTCAACCGAAAATTTCCCACGTAATTATCGTTATAATAGAATTAATTCATGTACATTTGATTCAAAGTGATTGAAATTGTTTTTTGCATTGTTAAAAAAACATTCGAAAATCTTAACTCACTTCAGCTTTGAAATCGAAAATCTTTTGAAAACGAATTTTCATTTAGAGGCGCACTAGATTGGTTGTGGTAATATGATTTGTTTACAAAAAAGGGATTAGTTTTATTTGTTTTGCAGTTTCGTTATTGATTCTACATGACCTTTTTCTTTAACCATATATTGATTTTGGCTTATGTTTAAAATTTTAACTTCATTTGATGAATGTGCTCGCGAAAAAAAAAAAAATTAGATTGTTTTCGTTATTGAATGAAAGTCATAAACGATTAATCAAGTGCAATTCACAAATAATACAAATAATACAATTTTTTAATTAGATTATGTCATAAAATAACAAATTCCCATTTTCTCTATCGGATCGAATTCATAATAATACACTGATTAATGAATTTACTTATTTATGTGTATTATCCTTTTGAAAAAAAAATTCCAACGTTTTTATGATGTGATGTGATGTGATGTGGTTAAGTCCTAATAAGGATCGGATTGACTTATTTACATTCTTCCCCACCTTTGTGCACCGATAATATTAATGTTTTCAATTGAAAAATATTTTGAATTGTTTTTCCGACACGAAAATTATTCTTGAATTCCTTCAATTAAAATCCTTACCAAGGAGAAACTTTTTTTAAAGGATCACATTTTGGAACATTCTAAAAATCCGATTTTTATTTTTATTTTTATTATTTTTTTTTTTTTTTTTTAAATAAAGATATAAATTTGTCAAACCCATTTTCTTTTTCATTTATTTAATTTTTTTTTGTTTATTGTGCCGGAAAATTCCCAAACCTTAAATTCTTTATCTTTTTTTGATCGTATTTTCCCATTCTCATAATAAAAATCAACATATACATACAGTGCATTCAGTGCATAATTAACTGCGTTTAAAGTTACAATCGTTATTTGAACGTAGAAACATCAAGACCGTGCATTCAGCTTTATTTATTTAAAAAATCAAAGAAAACAAACATGACAAACAAAAGGTCAATTCGTTGTCATCAACGCGTTGATAACGCAGAGGCAGCAGCCGCTTCCTCCCCTTTGCCATCTTCATCATCTTCACCAACAATCGCTGAAAAATTGAGCTTAGCAAAAAGGTTGGATGAGCTAAAAACATCAGTAAAAGATCAAGAGCATCTATTAAAAAAAGAGAAAGAAAGTCCGTTCGTTAAAAAATTTTTAGAAAAAATTATTAACGAATATTCAGACATAAAAACAACTTTGATGATACCAGAGTTGCTGGCACCTGCTATTAAAACGAGGGCGCAAGGAACTCCCAGACCTCAAAACGCATACATTTTATTTCGCAAAGATGTATCAAAAGGGATCTATCTGTTGAATCGAGATTGTATGTCTAGAGAGGCAAGGACCGTGACTTACTCATCTAAGATTGCTGGATTTCTATGGGGGGTAATTAAATCATCACGACATGAACATGATTTTTGGACGACATTATACCAAATCGCATGTTTAAAACATTCAGAGACTTATCAAAACTACGTATACCGTCCCATTAGGAAGAAACGTAATAATAGTAGTAGTAGTCAAGCTACTGAAAATCGACAGTCACCTACTGTTGCAACTATAGAGACAACTACTTCATCAAATCACCCGCCTACAAGTTTAATTATTACGCCAGATTTTAATGATGTTCCATCCTTCAATTGTAATTTTGTTGACCAACATCAAGCGTCCTATATGCCGGATCTAGGAATGTTCATCAATCAACAAATGTATGCTCAACCACAATATCCAGTAATTTACCAACCATCCGGGATAATGATGCAGCAAGATACGACAACGGCGCAATTCGAATTAGTGTCTGCTGCGCCACAATTTGTGGAAACCACGGTTTGGCATTCTACTACTTACGCAGTGAGCTATCAACAAACGTCATCACAATATTACCAACAATTTGCAAATCCATCTTTCCTACCAGCACAGCAAATTGTTCCATCACATGAGGATTTGGTCTTTCTAAGCCAACTAGGGATCGATCCTTTCTTATTGAACTTCAACCCACAACAATCATTTGACATGTAGATCATCTTTTTTACTCAACATAAAATCAATCACCGCGAGAAAAATCGCAATTTATTATTCGTCTTTAATTTTGCCGATCATTGCCAAAAAAATGATTTTTTAAAAAAACGGACTTTATAACTTTGAATTTTTTTTTTTTGACAAGTAATAAGTTGAGAACATTGGCTTTCTTTGTATAAATTTATTTTTAAAGTTTTATGTACTTTACAAGTATATAGTCTTAATGAAGTTTATGAAATATTTAATAAAAAAAAAAAATTGTCTCGTTCCAAAAATTCTTATTTATTTTTTGAGATTCCAATGACAAAATGATGATAATATTTAATTATAATACCAGCAACAAAAGAACAAGCAAAAAGTAGACTTATTTTATTCATAGAAACTGTAAAAATTTTAACCCAAGAATAACATTCTAATTTAATATTTTTTCCGATTCACTTCGTAATTTCTTCATCAGATGTGTTTTCATCATCATCTGTTGTATTTTTTTCACTTTCACCATCTGAACTTTCGACAAAAAAAGTATTTTCCAGTTCTTCTAAGGCAGATAATATAGTATTATTTTCACTATCATTATTAAAATATATACCATAATATTCCATATTATTTTAGATGAAAATTATTTTTTTACAATGAAAAAGAAAAAAGATTAAAGTTTTGCGCCAAAATTTGCGCATTTTTACTAATAAAGTTAATAAAGTATACATGGAAAAATGTATTTTTCGAAAGATTAGGTTTGTGGTAACGTGATCATCAAAAAATCTCAAAATATGATTGTTCTACTTTTTTTGCTGTGTCGGTCCCCATATAGAAAATATTTTCTTAATTTGAGGGGGACCATGACATTATAAATTTTAAGGAAATTAGGAATTATAAATCTTTCGAATCAAAATGGTAATATTTGCGGAGTATGCATCATAATTTAAAAAAATACCACGAGCAATTGTATATATTGTAATGCTTTGAGTCATGAAATCCTCGTTTATTGTAGAATTAAGATTTTAACCAATTTATATAAACAAATTATTTTCATTTTTAAGCGTATATTATTTCTTATGTATTAACATTGTAAGAATTTTATTTTTAATATTATATTTTACATTAATGTTTTCATTTTTGCGAATATGTATAAAAAAGAATGAAAGAATTTTAATAGTAGTGAATCTATATTACCGTATTATAATGCTTACTATCGAACACGTGAACAATTCACGTATGCATTAAGACAACCATATCAGGTTAATTCAAATCATTTATGAAAAAATGAAAATGAATCGGTGAATTTTTTTATAAAACTATACGACATTGAATTCGTTCAAAAGGAAATAAAAAACCCACTCACAATATCTAACGAATGCTAGTTGTAGAAGAAAATGCACTTTATAAATGAATTGAATGTACAAGATAATAAAAAGAGAATTCCTGATAGAATTATATGAAGTTAAGCAAACCCTTGAACAAAAAGTTGATTCATTTCTGATTGGCTCGGAGAATTTGGCAAAAAATTCTATATCTAGCCAAGTTGTGATCGTCATTTTTTTTTTTAAAAAAAAAAAATTCATTTTTCCTCATTCCCTAAATTTTTTATCATTTTCAAAAGAATTCATAATGACAGCACAATTTTTTCCTAAATTAAGTCAAAATTATATTGAAATATTAGAGGATGATGAATATTACGACATTACAATTGAAGTTGGAGAGGATCCGAATGTGAAAATATTCCGTGCGCACATGAATATTTTGTGCTACCGTTCTCCGTTTTTGCGACGAACCTTGTCTTCCAATAGAATGAATATTAATGACGGCACCCTGGCTCATGTTAAATTACCAAATATCTCACCGGAAACCTTTCAAATTATTTTAAAGTGAGCTTAAAATTATTGTTTACAGAAATATAATGATGTCTGACTGCTTTAATAACTTTATGATGTAGGTACATTTATGGTGGGGTAATTTCATTAAATGAAGATGTTATAGACATTTTCAAGGTATTGTCAGCCGCTGGTGAGCTTCTTCTTCAAGAATTGGTTGATTATATACAAATTTATTTAATTGAAAATTATCGAGATAAATTGATTGAACAACATTTTGAGCTTACTTATAAGATATGCTTTCGATCCAATAATTTGCTTAGACTTCAAGAATTATGTACTGACATTATAGCCAAATCACCTGAGAAAGTACTTAAATCACTTGATTTCGCTTCGATTCCTGAAAAGTCGTTAATTTCTATTATCAAAAGAGATGATTTACGAATGAAGGAAGTTGAAGTTTGGAATCATGTGTTAAAGTGGGGAATTGAAAAACATCCTACGCTCAATCCGGATCCTTTAACGTGGTCAGACGATGATTTCAAAATAATGCAGAATACTTTACAACATTGTTTACCTTTGATCAGATTCTTTAGTTTGTCCTCGGAAGATTTCTTCCAGCGAGTTCATCCACATAAAAAACTTTTGAATTGTCAACTTTATGAAAATTTATTAAAATCTTATTTGATTCCGAATCATGAACCAACTGATGATATTTTACCCCCTAGATATGGATTTATTGATGGTGGTATTATTGATTCGAGAATTGTTAATTTAAATATTGTTTCCATAATCTCAAGATGGATCGATAAATTAGACATTGGAAGCAAGTTTTCTCATGCAAGAGAATTGTACTTTCCATATAAATTTCAATTATTATTACAAGGAAATAGCGAAGTTGGACGTATTAATAAAAGATTTCATGATACATGCGACGATATACCTAATACAGTCACATTCATTAAAGTGAAAGGGACAGAAGAAATTCTTGGAGGATATAATCCTATAGAATGGAAATCAAATTATAATTATGGTCGTACTAAATATAGTTTCATATTTTCTTTTAAGAGTAAGGATAATGTTAAAGATTCAATTTTAAGCCATGTAAGTGATATGGATCATGCATTATTGTATAATTATAGTTATGGTCCCACGTTTGGTGATTGTGACCTTTTATTTAGAAGTACAAAAGCAGGTTTTTCTTCTAATTATTGTAAGTTAGATAAGTATGAAAAAAGGATAAGAGATACGGAAGAAACTTTCTTGGTAGAATATTACGAAGTATTTCAAATATTGAAATAAGAGTTCGGCTGAAATAGTAATTCCGGACAGATTTTTTCACCCGTTAAGAGATTTAAATTTAATGATTTAGCGATAAATATACTAAACCCCTTTGATTTTATCAATAAAGTAGTAATTTCTTAAGTTGTTAAATAATTAAGTTTGGGTTAACAGTGATAATAGGTAAAATAACAGGTTTGCAATTCAATGATTAAAAGAATTGAATCAAATTCAAATAGAATGAAAGAGTTTATGAACTATAATACAAGATTTTCATTTTTTATTATTATTTATTATTATAAAGAGACGCAATAAATCTTTTTCATTCTCTAAAATTGAAGTTTAAAATAAATTCGTAAATCAAAAGATACCTCATTAGTATTTTTAAGTGAATTTCTCAAATAAATGTTTGAATATTAGAAAAAGGTTTAGTTTACAATTATATTCTCACGTAATTATATCCGTTTTTCTTATTTTCTTTCGGATAATTTTCAGTACAAATTACAATTCAATTTCACCAAGATAGAGTTACGCGATATATAATGATCACATATTATAATCAATTTCCGATGAAACAAGCCGATTGAGGCGGTTCGGAGGGTTCTTTAAGAGAAGAAAAGCTCCTATTGATTTGTAATAAATCAGATGCGGTTACCAAAGAAAGAAACAAACCAAATTATTTGCATGTAAAATTTCGCGAGGCAGATAGAAATTTATACTTAAACGAATAACAAACTTTGTTGAAAATGTACTTAAAGCGAATTATTCACTTCGCTTAATCGTCTTACTACAGTCAAAATGCAAAAATTAGTGAAGGGAATACATCGATCCAGTATGAAATGGCTTAAACAACAAATTTTTTCCCTGTTTGAAAAGCAATTTAATTCGGTTTTGGGTTTGGGTTATTGTTGAAATTATGATAAAGTTTAATTTGTAAGTCAAAAAATTATCTAATTCAAAATAAAACCTAATTATCTATAAATGGGTTTCAAATATGAAATACCAGGCTAAAATCAGATATTGAATTCTTAAGTCGCAAGATGATTAAATTTTTTTAAAGAAAAATTAACTTTATTGCGTAAAAATATAGAAATATAAAAATCGACTTTGCTTTGTTCCACATTTAAATTCTTTATTTTGTTTTTATTGTCGATGAAAAAAAAATTTTAAAGAAAAAAATTTTTTTTTTCTTCCCATCAAAAAAAATTGAAAGCATGAGATATATAGCGACTACTAATCGTTCACTTCAAACTAATGATCGAAAATTGGTCCATAAATAATTGTTAACGATTTTTTTTTTTGTTTTTAAATCCATTTCATCCATTTCTCTTCGTTCATTTTGTTATTTTTCTTTTCACCGTAGCTTTTATTTTACATTTATTCACTCAACTTTACCGTGATCTTCTTATATTGCCTCGTTACATCAAACACATTAAATTAAGCCACGCTTAGGATTAGGGTAATAGCCAAGGTATAATAATAATCTGATTTTTTTTTTTTGTTTTCAGTAAAAAAATTGACGTGTTTTTTATTTAGTGCATAGTGAAGGCTTTCAAGGTTATAGAGGAAAGCTCGAACATATTATATGAGCGGGTTCAACGACGCGTTAATAGCAAACTACCTATAAAGAATAAGTTTAATATAATATAAAGCTGGAAGTTTTAACAGTCATTTTTAACTTGTAACTTTATCTTTTTTTTTCTGGAAGAGTTCATATAATTCACAATATGAATTCCCAAACATGCAAGGGATGCTTCTAAATCTCGGAAGAGGATTGACGTAGGCTGACTTTACCTTTTGCATATTTTCACAATGAGCGCATAAATACAACCTAGAGGACCTTGTTCTTTGCCCTCATGTAGGTTTTGATTTTGACTACTATCTATTAATTATTGTAATGTTTTTATT